AATAAAAATAAATTTGATGTAATATAAGGAAAGATATTTAGACACATTTAAGTAGATCAAAAGATTGAATATTAGAAAAATAATTTATTTCCAAAAATTGAATTATTGTATAGTTTTTGTAATATATAACTAAGAAATGACTAAATCATAATTAAATAATATTAACTAGGTATAATTATAATTTTCAGAATTTTGAGGTTTTTCCAAGAATTTAGATTCAGTTAAATTTATTTAAAAGACTTATTTTAAAGATTTACATATCGAAAATAATTTTTCATAGTTAATAATTATTATTTTTCATTAAGAATTCATTATTTTTTATTAATGAATTAATTATTTTTAAATAATTCTGTATTTCGTAAATTTCTTTCTTACATAATTTCCATTATTACGTGATTATTTCATACGTATTATTATATCATATACGACAAATAAATAACGAATGAATGTACTTTGTGAAAAAATACGCATATGAATAAAACAAACGAGATTACAATGGCTGTTTCATGAATAATCTTCATTTTTATCATTCGAGATACGTAATAAAATTAAAAAGCTACAAAGAGCACAGTGCAATTGTTCGAGTTATTGCTATAAATTAATATAATTATATTTAACGCGAATAATGACGTTAATATCATATAATATGAATACATTTAACATAATTAACATATAATAATTTTTAACATATAATTTATAATAACAGATGAAATTATCTTTTATATATATTTATCATATCAAATATGTCGTAGTTACATTATCATATATGAAATAATTTATTCGTGAAAATTTCAGTTTTTTAAATAATTTTAGAATATGTCTATTGATACATTTACAATATTGCATGAGAAATTTGAATACGCAATTCACATGGAGATATACATAATATACTTTATCGATATCAATATTTCGTTAATAATAATCGGATAATAAAGTCACAAATAATAACCGGAATATCATTGAACTTTCAAATGTATTTTTGAACATACTTTGACGAAAGAGTAATGTTTCAATTAACGAGGTTTGTAAACGTATAACATCGCGAAAATCAGACAATTGAAAACTAATTAACAAAGTTCTATCTATCAAACAGCGAAGTTTCATTCAGACAGTTGTGAGTATTGAGCTCGTTATATGAGATTTTACATTTATGAAGGTAGCATGAATCATTTCCTTGCATATTAATATCCGGTTTGAAGTGCGCGATAAATTAAAAAACTCGTAAAAATTTACAATAAAGATGATTAACGATAAGGGAAAAATTTTAATGCAATTTCAATCGTATATACACGCATACATATATAATACGACAATTGATAAATGTCTCTTTTTATTTTTTATACTTACATAAAATTTGTAACTAATTTGAAATATTTATATAACACAATATTTTGTTTTATTACCAATAATGGTTGTTTTTATTATTGCATTAGTTTTACAATTTTGTATTATATTTAATCCATGGTGTAATATATGGTTCAGAAAGAAAATATAATATATATCTTGCTCTTCTTTTTGAATATGATAATGAATTATTATAGTATAACATAATGATATGATACTTAATGCTATAAATATATATACTAAATTTATGGTTTACTATATATACTATACTATAATAGTATTATATAATTTTATAAATATTTATTTATTATATATTTATATATTCGTATAACGCTATACTTACATAATTTCCATTATTACGTGATTATTTCATACGTATTATTATATCATATACGACAAATAAATAACGAATGAATGTACTTTGTGAAAAAATACGCATATGAATAAAACAAACGAGATTACAATGGCTGTTTCATGAATAATCTTCATTTTTATCATTCGAGATACGTAATAAAATTAAAAAGCTACAAAGAGCACAGTGCAATTGTTCGAGTTATTGCTATAAATTAATATAATTATATTTAACGCGAATAATGACGTTAATATCATATAATATGAATACATTTAACATAATTAACATATAATAATTTTTAACATATAATTTATAATAACAGATGAAATTATCTTTTATATATATTTATCATATCAAATATGTCGTAGTTACATTATCATATATGAAATAATTTATTCGTGAAAATTTCAGTTTTTTAAATAATTTTAGAATATGTCTATTGATACATTTACAATATTGCATGAGAAATTTGAATACGCAATTCACATGGAGATATACATAATATACTTTATCGATATCAATATTTCGTTAATAATAATCGGATAATAAAGTCACAAATAATAACCGGAATATCATTGAACTTTCAAATGTATTTTTGAACATACTTTGACGAAAGAGTAATGTTTCAATTAACGAGGTTTGTAAACGTATAACATCGCGAAAATCAGACAATTGAAAACTAATTAACAAAGTTCTATCTATCAAACAGCGAAGTTTCATTCAGACAGTTGTGAGTATTGAGCTCGTTATATGAGATTTTACATTTATGAAGGTAGCATGAATCATTTCCTTGCATATTAATATCCGGTTTGAAGTGCGCGATAAATTAAAAAACTCGTAAAAATTTACAATAAAGATGATTAACGATAAGGGAAAAATTTTAATGCAATTTCAATCGTATATACACGCATACATATATAATACGACAATTGATAAATGTCTCTTTTTATTTTTTATACTTACATAAAATTTGTAACTAATTTGAAATATTTATATAACACAATATTTTGTTTTATTACCAATAATGGTTGTTTTTATTATTGCATTAGTTTTACAATTTTGTATTATATTTAATCCATGGTGTAATATATGGTTCAGAAAGAAAATATAATATATATCTTGCTCTTCTTTTTGAATATGATAATGAATTATTATAGTATAACATAATGATATGATACTTAATGCTATAAATATATATACTAAATTTATGGTTTACTATATATACTATACTATAATAGTATTATATAATTTTATAAATATTTATTTATTATATATTTATATATTCGTATAACGCTATAAATGTTTATAGAATATTGTAATCTGATTATAAACTTTAATTGTGTAAACAATACTAAACATTGTTTATAATATAAATATTACCATTGCGATAATTAATTGTGTAACTACATTATATATACCTTGTGTTAGTAAACACAAGTATTCGCACATTTTATTTTCATATAACTATAAATTTTATCATTAATTTTATTATTTTATCATTTTATTATTTTATTTTTAATTAGTAATTTTATTTCATTCTTGATGCAAGTTTGGTGCAATTTAAACGTAGTCACTTGGTGTGACATTCTAGTAATTTCTAACTTCTCAAGTAAGTGGAAATGAAGTTCCTAAAGAACCGTGCAAATTACTGTGAGAATTTATTGCAATTGGAAATTAGTTTAATTCGCATTATTTCAAACTTTTGTCTTCTCATAGCTAGTTATTTTATCCTTCTTGCATTTGAATCGGGAAAATTTTAAATAATTTACAATGAATATATATAGCAACATATAACAACTTCAAAAAATTGTAATACCATTAAAATACTATAAATTTATAAAAATCAGGAAATAAAAATTTATATAATAAAACATAATTAAGACACAAAGAATAGAAATGGAAGATAAAAGGTTCATAAAATTTATTGAAAATAGTCTAAATTAATTTTCCAGAATTTTCAATCTATATTGTAAAAAGAACTTTTAGTTTTATAGTTTAAGTGTTATCGAATCAAGTTATATTTATAGTATCAAATGCTTATATAAATATATACACACACTGTAGCATACATACACAACTTTAATTATATACGTACATTTAATATACACCTAATTTTGGTTATATACATTCATTTTAAGATACATATACAATTTTAATGGTATACATACATTTTAGTATATTCATACCATTTTGTATACAGTATAGTGTATATACGGTATAGTATTCAGTATATAGTATATGCTCAATACTAATTTCTGAATTTGAAGAAAACAATTATAAATATATCCTTTTCGTTTCTTTTTAAATTGTTTTCATATTTCAAACATCACATTATTCAAATTAATTACACAATCTTAAATCTGGACATAAAGGATGTAAACTAATATTTCTACAAATAGAAACGTGTTACTTAATTACAAAATAAAAATAAAGTAGGACAACAACATATAGAATAATAGATATTTTTTAAAATATCAGTTAACGAGTAATCGTAAAACTAATAGTTAAATATTACTTAACTAATAGTTACCTATAGTAAAATATTAATCAACTAGTAATAAGTATAGTAGTAGTTAATTAAATACTAGTTAATCAATACTTAATAAGAAGCAAACAAAAAGAATGATCAAATAATAGTGAAATATTAGTCAAATAATAGTTAAATAATATCAACACATCTATATCTTCCAACTCTCGAAGCACATAGCAACACAGTGATTGAAGCTCTATATTATCACGCCATTTCACTTTCATTCTCGTTTCGCTTCTATATTTATCAGTTGTAGTTAATAAAACAACCACTTGAAAGCTAACATCGATGAAAGTTCTAACAATCTAAAATAGAGTTCATCGCGAGTTATAAATAATATTATTATACGTATACCATTTAAAGGTGACTAGAATGACGAAGCAACAAATACCATTAAATAGATTCCTTTGAATAAGAAGGCTAGAGATAGACGTTTCACTAACGTACGAAACGCCAACGGACGAAGAAAGTTACGATTAGAAGTTGACTGAAACATTCATTTAGAAACACATAGGACACGATACGTCTGTATTTACGTCGAATTTCCCACTGTTATTGATTTCTGCGAGGTCCCACCAATGGAAGCGGGACCCCATTTCTCGATCCCCGAACTGAAAAGGGTATCACTCGTCTGATGACCTTGAACCAGCTGTGCAGGGGTGTTCCGTTTTTGAAACTGGAACAAGGGGCCATCCGCACGATTCAAAATGCTTTTCCGTTGACTCTCTTCTAAATGATTCTGATTTAATTCGTAACCATGATATTGTAACGCGTTCCATGTTTTCTAACCTATTCGTCATAATTAATCAACGTTTTCTACGTTTTCCAGGATATAAACGAGATATGCATACATGTGTCTCCTGTCTATACATATATACGTATCAAATATAAATTTTCACTTAAAAGAGATGCGAATAATTTGCAAATTATTAATATAATCTTTTAGAGTATTCTGTGTGTGTATATATATATACAGTTGATCAGTTATGATCATAAAATATGCTTGTAGAGTAAGGGTTGCTCTAATGTAGGGTACATTACAGTTGCCTTTGGGGATGCAGTGGCGAAGCGTGCTTTCACGAGGCAAATAAAAATTTCCGTGATAAAATAAAAATGATTGCCTGGTGGTAATACAATGAATTATTAAAGTAAATGCGAGTTATCAGTTTGATAAACTGTACATAGTTTAACGGAAGCACTGTCCTTATGGATATTGTAAAGCATCCATTTCTCCGCGTTTCTCTATAATAGATTGTGAAGATATTCTTCCATTTTTCCTAATATTACACTGTATTTCTTCCAATGTAACTGTTTTAGAAATAATTGTTTTAAAAACAGTAGATATTTAAATAAAATATATTTTAGTTTCTTAATATTAACAATAATAAATTTATAACCGTATCATGAAATATAATCTTTTCTCTATGTAAGAATAGGAAACACATGTGTATCTGAAAAATAAGTTAAGAAATTATATTCTAATTTTTTAAATTCATCTTTTTTAATGCAATAGTATAGATACAAATAGGGTACCAATTATTATATTATATTTAATATTATAAAATTTGATTGGATAAATTTTCTGTAATTAATTATGCTATAAGGTTTAATTGCTATGAATTTATTTAATAGAATAATGAAAATATATTATGTAAATATATTATGATATTATATATCATGAGATAATTTTTATTAAACCCTCTTTTTCTATTTTTTCAATTTTATTATAGAATTCTTGTTTCCTCTAGAAGAAGAAGTATAGATATTCCTTATGATATGAATCATGAATTATCTATTTAAATTGCATCTGAAATGGATGGCTAAGTTTCAAGAAAAAGAATAAACGGAGTCGCGTTAATTAAGCTGCATTGACTTTAAAATGAGGTTTGAATCGAATCATTTTTGTTTCAGGTAAAGGTATCACGACGTGGTAATATCTCGACACCAAATTTCTCCAAGACATCTAATCACACGCTTACCTCACGATGAATCATGGTAAAAATTATAATCGTGAAACGAATTTCTTTGGAAAGTATATGTCAGAAACGCCGGAAAAGGAAAACGATACAAATTTAGATCTGATTCGCAAGGTATGGAATTCTTTGTATTTTTATTTTCCTTTTTAAATAGTAAAAAAATACAGGAACATTAAATTCGCATAGAGAATTCTTCATTTTCCTGTTTTTAAAACAGGTTATGAATAAATCTTAATATGTTTACCATAATTTAAAAGAAAAATTAATTATTGAAAGTATTGGAAAATTAGGGAGCAAAAATATAAATAAAGAATTCTCTTTATTTCGAATTTTTAAATAAGACTGTACGATGCTACTATACGTCGAATATTCTCCTTATTTTCTTTTTTGTTTTTTATTTGTGAATATGACTACCTTATTTAACAGATAAGGATATCTATTATTTATTTATATTAAAATAAAAATAATTGATTTTTTGAAAATTTAATTGTTACCTCTCCTTTAATATAAATTTCCTTCTATTTCGTTGGGAATTAATCTTTCGTCGACTTCATTTTTGATTTTCCTGTTATTAGTTTTATGTATATTTCATTTGATTACAGATGACCAATAAACACCCGAGTCTCTTTACTAAATCTGGTTATTCTAATGCGAGTTCACCTGGTACAGCGTCCTCCGGAAGCAGCACGAATTCTCAATGCTACGGCCAATCCCCAGATTTTAGCGTTGATTCGTTAATTAACACTCTATTACAAGTTGTAAACGGTGATAATTTTAATGGACCTGCTTCCTGCAATATTCAGTTCTCGCAAACTGGAAATTCCGTTAATAACAGATGTAAGGATTGCATTGACGCGGTTTGTGATTTGTGTTCTTCGAATCGACTTTTGGTGGGTATACTTTGATCTCTAAATCTCCCTTAAACAATAAAAATTACATATTTTACAGCTTCGTAAATTCTCATTTAAAAATGTTCATTATTTACCTTCAATTTAATACACATATGTTTATATCATATAATTAGGTTTATTAGAAATTAAGGACTTTATATTACATTTTTCATACTTATATATTGATCTTTATTACTTACTTTTAGTTAGATTCTTACTTATATTATGAATTCATTACTTATTGTAGCTATCAAAACTAAGGAAGATATTTACAGAACCAAACAGGGTATTGAAGAATAAAGACCTAGGTTTTAAGAGCTTATTAACAAGAGGAAAATAAAGTGGTTAGGAAAAGAGGTATTACTAGAAATAGAGAATAAGGAATAAGAGAGGATCTTAAAATCTACCACCATAAAATATAATTTTGTGTCCTCCTCTAAGGTTGCTTAATATGCTTAATTTAGTTACTCATCGTAAACAATGTATTTGGCTTACAACCTTGGTTAGAAAGTCTATGTATGTCAGACTCTGTGGAATAAGAGAGAGATATTTTAACATGTATATATGTAGATTCATAACTTATATGAATGTTATATACAAATTAAAAGGCATCTTACGTCAAAAGAAATAATTTCCAGCCTTCATATGATTTTGCTAGTATCAAATAAATTTCTCACAATTGTAGAATTTTATTCTATTATGTAATCATGGATTTTAAGTTGTCCATTGGCCATACTTTTTACTTCTCACTAAGTAAATATTATACAGGTAGTTTAAATTTCTAGGCCCTTATCTTTTAATACCCTGTATGTGATATAAACAAACCATATGATTTCAATAACAGTAGAGTAAAAAGTAAAATAATTGACAAAGTTTAACAACAGTTATAGTAAAATATTAATCGAAGTGACTTATTTATTTTTCTTGTGCAGAATCCCTCAGAGTTGTGCCACGAGGATGAACATAACCAAACGCATAATATACCAGAAATACCAAGTCCTACAATAATCAATGTCCCGAATTTGACTACTTCAGAATTACCTCTATTTTGCGATTTACATCGCGATGCTCAAAAATTTTACTGTCAAACTTGTAGTAAACCAGTATGTGGTGAATGTGGAATCCACCATCATCGTGGACATATTACGGTAAATTTAATGGAAGCCGTTGAAGGTGCTGGAATTCAAGCAAATCAAGTATTAAAAGAAGCTAAACTTGGAATAATGGCCCTCAGGGAAGAACTGGATGCTGTACAAGTAAGTAAATTGTTTTAGAAGTCTCTATCATAATTAACACTGTTTTCATAAATTATTGCTTGAGAAATTTATTTTTTATACATATAGTAAAAATAATTAATATCCTATTTCGTTATTTTGAACTTTTTGTTTACCTTATTTCAAATTATAAAATCTCCTTAATCCTATTTGCATCATGAATTTCAGACCACATTAATAATTATTGTAATAGAAAGATATAATTATTTGACTTTATTATTTTGTAGATAGCAGCAGAGATATTGGAACAAAAAGCAAGACAAGCAACTGCAGATGTGATGTTGTGCGTAAGAAGAGTAGCTTCCGCTTTGGAAACGAGGGAAAAAGAATTGTTAAGTAGAATCGAAAAAGCTAGGCTTCTCAAATTTGCTGCATTAAAAGCGAGAGATGAGGGGCTTAGATATGGAATAGCCCGATTATCACGGGCTGCTGATAAGCTTAGCGAAGCCATGGAGTCCAAAACGTTGGCTAGCAATCCATTAAATTTGTTACTCACTAAGGACATGGCTTCTCAAGAGGTATTCATTAACAAGATCAATAAATAGTTAACAAATTTTTCTTATGAGTTCTAAAAAGATAATATTCAATCCACTTAATTCATTTTTTCGCTACTTCGATTTCAAGTCATCTAGAAACCTTTAAATTATGTTCCATAAAAAGGAAGAAATTATATATAATATGTGCAATCTAGAACTGATCATTTTCATAAATAACAAATAACGTAATTAAGTAATATTTATAAGACATATGTAGAATCATAACATAGGAATATGAAATACCTAGCATAAAAATTATCTTTAAATCAAATTATTCTTTATCTTCCTAATTTTCAATTAAATATAATAAATATTTAGTACATTTAAGATATTTTGCAGTACGTATATTTTTTACTAACGCAATTTATTTTCATTGATCGCAGGTTTTTCAAATTCGTCAAAGTCGCCAATCCCTTCCATCGCAAGAGGAGAATTGGATTTTATTTAATGGTTTGGAAGATACAATATTAAATGTTATAGCAAACCTTGGAGCTGTTGTCGTAAATAATCCAGGTCCTATTGGCGATCGACGAGCAGTAAGAGGCCGTGGAAATTCACCTCAGATATTACTCAGGCAAACAGTCTCGATTCCGCTAGTTTCGGTACCCAGAGGAAGACCAGTTCCTTCAAACAATTTTCCAGTTACAGTTAGAATAAATCGGAATTCTGATTTACCTGTAAAACCGTTAAGAATAATTGGCAATAATGGCGATCCGAAAGATAATCTTTGCCGACCCTGGGGAGTGGCATGCGACAAAGAAGGACATATAGTTGTCGCGGATAGGTCAAATAATCGTATCCAAATATATCGCCAGGATGGTTCCTTTTTGAGAAGATTCGGTACACATGGTACTGCACCAGGACAATTCGATCGCCCAGCTGGCGTAGCGGTCGATGCTCGCCGTCGTATAGTTGTAGCTGACAAAGATAATCATCGTATACAGGTAATGGAAATAAATAGTTTTTTCCAGTACATTTATATACCTATGAAGTTGGATTGCATTTAAAAATAGCGGTATTGTCTCCTTGTTGCAATTGGAAGTGAACTTTTTACTGAATAGACGAACAAATGGTGTCAATAGATACTGTTTATCATGCCAGTGAGATAGTACGCTAATAACAAAAAACTAAATGATGACATTGTGCATATTTTCAGGTATTGACGATGGAAGGTATATTTCTTCTAAGTTTTGGTGAAAAAGGCTGTCGTTGTGGTCAATTCAATTATCCATGGGATGTCGCTGTGAACTCTGAATGTCAAATAGTCGTGTCCGATACGAGAAATCATCGCGTCCAGTTATTCAGTCCAGAGGGCGTTTTCCTCCGAAAATATGGTTATGAATCAGCGTCCAACATGTGGAAGCACTTCGACTCACCACGTGGAGTGGCGTTCAATCCGGATGGCAACGTTGTTACAACGGATTTTAATAATCACAGGGTAGTGATCATCGACGCTGATTTCATGCATGCTCGAATTTTCGGATGCGAGTGTGCAGGTGGTTTGAAACAGTTCCTGAGACCGCAAGGTTTAGTGATCGACGACGAAGGTAACATTATTATAGCCGACTCTAGAAATAACCGAATTCAGGTATTCGATTCGGCTGGTATGTTGAAATGGCGATTTGGTAGCTATGGAAAAGGTGAAGACGAGATGGATAGGCCATCAGGAATAGCATTGTGCCCTGACGGTAGAATCGTTGTCGTAGACTTTGGTAATAATCGAGTTCTTCTTATTTAAATCATCGGTTGATTGGTTCCGCAAGTAAGAAAAGAAGTGCTAGTAAGAGTAAGATTTTATACACGTTAAAAAGAAAAATTTCGCGACAGTGATTGCGGACACGACGTTACTGTTTTTGTCGATTTTAGAAGTAAGCGTGTGACGCTTAAGACCCACAGATAACAAGCGTTAGAGGCAATATTTTCCTACTGATTGTATATAATATGGAAATCCGTATAGGTTCCTTTCGAAGCTTCGGGTTTTCTCACTTTGAGTGCCAAGCAACCAAGTACAAAAAAAGAAAAAGAAAAAAAAAGATTAAGAAAAAATGAACTTTTCGTTCTGAAATCATATCGTTATGGATGTTCCCATCAGAAGAGAAACGTTATTTTCACATTATTCATACGTAGTTATCCGTTGTCTGTAAATTCGTAGATGATGGTGAAAGCAGAAAACGAAAAATGTTAGTGGTGATAGCGTGATAAGCAAATAAAAAAGTGAGCAAAAATTGAGAGTGATTCGTTCCAGTATTGACTATCTCGTAAGATAGCGATAAATTATGTAGGCGAGGATTAGAGTAAAGGCAATTTCCCGAAGGATTCCTAAACTACGACCTATGTATGTTACTTTTATTATCAAAATGGTGACCATGTTTTTTAAATTATTTTTGCTGAACAACGATTGTGGATAAGAAAGCAAAATAATATTGAGAATACTAATGACGGAATTTACGTCAGTATTCGATCGAAATACTCACTATAAGGTCGAAGATTTGAGAGTAATGCAATACAAGTGACAGAGAGCTAAATATAAGAAAAATAGTTACTATTTTTAATAAAAATGTGACTATCTTCTCTGTTATAGTAGGTATCTTACAAGGAAGGTATTTAATCCAGCGTATGCTATTTTGTTTCACTTGTAGCTTGTATTACTTTACCTTTAAATGTTTCCCAATATTGGAACAGCTACTTATTTTGTATGAATTTTTTTTATATACACTATAAAGATATAATTTTCCTCTTTTATATGTATATAAAAAAAATATCTGGATCGTTGTGTGACCGAACAACGTCTAATTAAAAGGTAACAGTATACAATACTATCGTGACCAGCGACGTAAAAATGTTTAACTATTTGTATAAGTTAATGATATTGTCTCCTGTTAAATATGCAAGGAGACTAAAATGCAATTTGACGTTAGAACATACTTATGTGTGCATGATCGTTGTGATTAAGAGTTCGTTTTTATGGGTGTATGTATTTGAGAAGGAATGCGAATGACACAAATAAGTTGTAGGAACATTCAGGCGGAGAGACAAAAACCAAAAAAAGACTTAAATACGATACAGGAGGTAAAGAAGGAAAGATATTACTTGCAAAGAGTGCAAATTGTCTCTAATTGATGCAACACTTTATCAATCAAATGCAAAATCAATGTGTAGTAATATTTTTAACATATCATACTTCGAACACATTCTTTCCATTTACATTATTGCATTCTAATATAAACATGTGTAAATGAACAAAATTTATTACCATTATTATTATGTTTATAACTATTATTATTATTATTATTATTATTATTATTATTTTTATTTTTATCATTTTTTTGCATTGACATTATGACAAGTAACATTGTTATTATTATCATAATTATTTTCATTAATATCATATAATAGCTATAAAAATCAGTATGAAACTTTATCTAATAACATTTGCTGTACATAAAATATGAGTTTTATACAGTATGCAAGAATTCAATGTGTCAGTCTTTAAAGAAAACTGCAGATGTTGTCGCATTTGATTTAATTTGACGTTAATGAACTGAAATAAGATATTAGTTACATTCGCACAATATAAGACTGAACTAAGACTGATTTAACACAATAACAGGTTTTGTTCCTTGTTTATTTTTACACAGTAAATAAGAGATGAAAAGTGATTTATGTTTGAACGTCTATTTTAATATTATGTTCAGAAGTACCATTGAAGGATTTTAAAATAATATCATAAGATAATAATTTTATTGGCCTATACTTTTAGGTGATATGCAGAATTTTATTGTTTGACTTATATTTATTTTTTTTAATAAGATAATATGTTACCAAACAACTTTAGTTTAACATAATAATTTACACACTGACAGCCAACCAATCACAGTATTAGTTGTTGTGAAAACTTATTTTTGAACAAAGAATGATCTCTCATATTGCGTGGAAACATCTTCACAAATATAGTTGAAGTACTTAAAATGGAACAAATTTCTTATAAAAAAATAAAGGAAAATATTTGGCTATCATTATGCTGAACTGGTTCAAAACTATAATTCAGCTTTAAAACTGTTGAAGAGGTTTCTACATAAAAAGTGATTTATCCAAGAAGTTTTTACAGAAAGTAATTTCTTCATATTACAATATATAGCAGTATGATGTGTGGCAATAATGTTGACCATGGTATAAAAGGATTTTATTAATAAAATATGCTTATATATGCATTTTTATCGCAATGCTGTGTTAATAGACAAAGATTAAGTTAGATTTTGAATATGTACATCCTGCTCAAGTATTATTATAAAATACATACATGCATTTAATGAATCAAGCAGTAATAAATTATGTACAAATATGTTTCTGATTGAATATTTTGCAAAAAGGTTTAATAGCTTATAGTGTGAGAGTAGAGCAGGGAATAGATATCAAGTGTTGCACGTCCATTTTCAGAAGATCATATACAAATTTATTTATTCTTGTGTAAGATATTGGATTAATACAAAGGTTTTGTTATAGTTTCTTATACTGCAACATAATGGTGCTGTAATAAATCCAATATTGTATACACATTGTACTATAATACATATGTATAAAACTATATTCGATAAACAGAAAATATAGTATATATATACAATATATAGCTGGTACATGTACTAAACAAAAAGTAAAAGTACAACAAGACTTGCATACAAGATAATTTAGCGCTATGTTGTATCCAGGAAATGAGATATTCCTGTGACGAAAATGACTTAATTCTTGCTATTTTTTAGTGCGTCTGACTTTTTACAAACATTTTGCTGTCAAAATTGAACATACATACGTGTTGCAAACTCTAATGCGATAAGATGAGGTTAATGTGTTTGCGAGGCAAATGCATCTTCTCTGTCATTAAAATATTATTATACGATCGTGTTTAAAAACAAATAATCAAAAGTACGAAACGGGAAGAATTTATCGCGAACACAGATCGAAATTTTTTCGAAAATTATAAGAGATTTCTGTACATACGTCATCTATAAGAAAATTTTTACTAATAAGGAATGTTTCTAAGTAAATTTACTGTTTCTTTTTGACTATATATAATAAGGAGTTGACAGCGAGTGTAGCAAATGAAGATAAAATAAAAAAAAAAAATACATTCACGTTGCGCTTATACGTTTCCTAGCATAGTTTCTATGATTTATAACTAAAGTATATCGAATTTGAGCCTATTTGTTATACGTTAAATTTGTTAGAAATACGTAACGCTGATTAAAAGTTTATATAATATATAAATTAATTTGCAAGCATGTTTGCAGATTAGAAGAAATTTCCTCTGTAAGTGTAATACTATGTATATTTAACGAGAATTACTACTACGCTGCAATCGATCCAGTTCGAATATAATTTTTCTCGAAGAAAAAGAAATTGGACAATGTAATGCGCGTGCGATTTATAATTATTTTATGAAACCTTGTTCCTACCTGATTAATTAGCTTTTTAAAAGAAACTTAAATTCTTCTGAAGTTAAGAAAGAAAATACTTGATATCGACGAGAGAAGGACTCGAAAGCAAGAAAGTTTAAAATTCTTCTAACGTCTGAAACAACGCAACTATGATAAAATACAAAAATTAAATCTAGATAATATGGTACAAAGTATTGATCGAAAATTACGATAAATATCAATGGCGCGAAAATACGAATGTAAACATTTGTTGCAAATATTTTATGCGACGACCTTTTTTTTTTTGGAAATAATTTAGCGTATTGATAAATGAATTTCCAATAGCGATGAAAACTAGATCTAATGAACGTGTATGTTAAGACATGATTGTAATCATCCTATTTTACAACTATCAAAAGCATTATTAAATTTTTTGGAATTTTAATAACGCTTGTAAAAATTATTTTTTTTCCAATTGATATTCCAATTTCTCAATAATTATAGACATATTGTTTTTAATATTTTGAGATTTTACTTTTTTACTGATATGATTCTAAAAAATTTTCTGTATTATTTAAAGTATGATGATTTGAGAAAACACATTTTTATTTTTTAATATTATACATTACAAATGTACAACATGATATTACAAATATTTATTTTAATTTTCTACTTTTAAATTGTCTCACAAATATTTTCAAGTTTTTTAATATTTCTTCTGTGGTATTCATAATTTATTTACGATATTCAATTGTTTTTACATGTTATAGAAATTGCAATTAGAAATATCAATTTAAAATAAATGTAGAATGTAGAATAGTATACAAAAAATATATAAGAAGTAAAAAGTTAATGATAAGTTAGTATGTTTAAAAAAGTCAATTTATCGACAAATATGCATTGTAAAATACATTATTATATTACTTTATCTTTAATGTATAACCTTATATTTATGTTTTGTTTGATAGCATTAACTGAAAGTCAAAAAGGTAAGCGCGAATATAATACTTTTGGTAATTGTTCACTATTAATTATCATTTCTCCGAAAATACGTCGGATGAACAAATAATTAGTGTAATATTCAGATAAAATAAAAGAATTAAAATACAAATAAATGGCAATATTATTTTTATCATATAATTTTATGAAATTAAACAATTTTGTGCATAAAATAATTTTTTTATGAATGTAACATGAAAAAACTATATTATTTAATTTCTTTTCTTATTATTTCATTTTTATTTTCACTTTTTTTTTTTTAGGGATATATTTATTGTAAAAATAGTTTCTTTCTAAATTAACTTTGATATAATTATAACTGTAATATAATTTTTCGGTTACTATACTGTAATGGTTATATCTTAGTAGATACTATTATTACTTTCGTATTATATAAACAGTATTTTTATTTAAATATCTAACAGAAATTGATGTACGAAATATATCATTAACAAATTTTGTATTATAGTACATAATGCATCTCGAACTGACTTGATGAAGTGTAAATTAACGCAATTGGGAATGGAATACAGAGGAGCCATAGCTAAAACAGCTGGTGATATTCGATGTCAATACTGGTACACAGATGAACCAATTCACGAGGTAGATTTGATTCAAATTTTGATTTTTAGTTTTTTTAATTTTATAATTTTTAATTAAGATTTTTAATTAAGATTTCCAACTTATAGGTCACGACCCTTACTATGGCTGCAAAAGTGTCTTTATGGGGGTTACTGTCATGTTCATTGTAATTTTATAGAAAATTGCAATGAACTTTATAAAAAAATTTATCAGGAAGATTTTTAGTACTTAATCATTTAAACATTAAGACTACAATATATAATATTACATAAGTGCCAATAATTAAGGAGATTATTTATTTATATAATTTATTTATATATAACTTAAATTTATTATTTTTTTATAACTTTTGCAAGTAGTAGAATTGTTTTCTTCCACAAATATAAGATATTGATTAGTAAATCGTTTATTTATTAAATTGAGTTAATTTTTTATGAGATCATAAGTGTCTTAATATTTGTGATTAACAGTGTATTAATACATACGTAACGTAATAGTATGGTTATATATTTTTGAAATAAATAAGATTTTAATAGTTCAATTTTTTAAAATTATTTTTAAAATTTTTCCTTTTCGTTCATTAATAGTAGAAAATAATCAGCGATTTATTAAAATTTAAATTAAGAACATGCAGTTCTGGCAGATCTTGCATTTTCATAATATTTAATATTAGGTTAGTAAAGATATAACTGACAATGATTTTCCTGAGAAATCGATGAAAATTGCAAAAAATTACTGCAGAAATCCAACAAGAGATAGCCGAGGTCCTTGGTGCTATACCTTAGAACCATCACTCATAGATGATGAGTGTGATATACCTCTTTGTAATTTTGGAATAATTATAACTGTAATATAATTTTTCGGTTACTATACTGTAATGGTTATATCTTAGTAGATACTATTATTACTTTCGTATTATATAAACAGTATTTTTATTTAAATATCTAACAGAAATTGATGTACGAAATATATCATTAACAAATTTTGTATTATAGTACATAATGCATCTCGAACTGACTTGATGAAGTGTAAATTAACGCAATTGGGAATGGAATACAGAGGAGCCATAGCTAAAACAGCTGGTGATATTCGATGTCAATACTGGTACACAGATGAACCAATTCACGAGGTAGATTTGATTCAAATTTTGATTTTTAGTTTTTTTAATTTTATAATTTTTAATTAAGATTTTTAATTAAGATTTCCAACTTATAGGTCACGACCCTTACTATGGCTGCAAAAGTGTCTTTATGGGGGTTACTGTCATGTTCATTGTAATTTTATAGAAAATTGCAATGAACTTTATAAAAAAATTTATCAGGAAGATTTTTAGTACTTAATCATTTAAACATTAAGACTACAATATATAATATTACATAAGTGCCAATAATTAAGGAGATTATTTATTTATATAATTTATTTATATATAACTTAAATTTATTATTTTTTTATAACTTTTGCAAGTAGTAGAATTGTTTTCTTCCACAAATATAAGATATTGATTAGTAAATCGTTTATTTATTAAATTGAGTTAATTTTTTATGAGATCATAAGTGTCTTAATATTTGTGATTAACAGTGTATTAATACATACGTAACGTAATAGTATGGTTATATATTTTTGAAATAAATAAGATTTTAATAGTTCAATTTTTTAAAATTATTTTTAAAATTTTTCCTTTTCGTTCATTAATAGTAGAAAATAATCAGCGATTTATTAAAATTTAAATTAAGAACATGCAGTTCTGGCAGATCTTGCATTTTCATAATATTTAATATTAGGTTAGTAAAGATATAACTGACAATGATTTTCCTGAGAAATCGATGAAAATTGCAAAAAATTACTGCAGAAATCCAACAAGAGATAGCCGAGGTCCTTGGTGCTATACCTTAGAACCATCACTCATAGATGATGAGTGTGATATACCTCTTTGTAATTTTGGAGGTAATATGTTTAAATATACTTATTTTTCATATATATTTACGTTCATATATATTCTTACGTTCTTGAGACAAATTAATATTCTATCATATCTAGTTATAGAATATACTAGAAAAGTAAATTTCAGATATTATATATACATATTGATATATATAGAGATTGCAGGTTTACTATTTATAAATAATTCTTTTTTACCAAATAAAATTTTCTGTAATATATATATATTTTTTCTTTGGGGGGGAGGGGGCTCCATATACTCTTATAAATTTGTGTTTAATTTTTAATATTTAAATATTAAATATTAAAAAATATTTTGAATATTTTTTTCAATGAAAGAGTAAAATTTTACAGATAACAATTAAAAAATGCTAATTAAGAAAAAAACTAATTAAAGTAGTGCGTGCACTTCTACACATTCTACAAATATAACAAACAGCTTTTAAATTTAGGTTACAGGTTTTGACGAACCACCTTGTGTATATAATTTAATAGAAAATTAAAAATCGTGGAATTTGGCAGCGGGTTGTTAATGTAGTACCATTTTATCTTTAACATTATTTTAAAGGTCGATGCAATAAATTTATAGAAGTGATATTCATCTGAAAAATTTCTTTTATATACTGAAATTATTTATAATCGAATAGAGTGTAAGCTATCTGGACCAGGGTCTGAATATGGAGGGAGTAAAGAAATGACTACATCAAGAAGTAAATGCAAATCGTGGCATAAACGACATCAGCTTGAAGGATTAAAAGTGAGTAATATAAGATTTAATATTATTTTATTATTTAAGGGAAAACCCCCCGAAAAATAACATTATGGTATCAAATATTCCATTACTAATTTTCTATTTGGAAAATAAAAACTTTTAATCGAATTCTCATACGAATTAATTTGATTTTAAATACAAAATATGAATAAAAATAAAATTCCAATAATAAAGATAAGAATAGCATGTTAGAAATTATTTTGAAAAATTATGTTTATTAAGATAGCTCCTATCAGAGATTAAAAAATTTTGAGATATTTAATTTTTTAATTTTCTTTCTTTGGAAAATTCGCTTTCATTGGTTTGTAGACATCGTATGAAAAGACTATGAAATTTTTAATAACTTATTTCTATTTTTCAGAGTGAAAAATACGATGACAAAAACTTTCCTGACAGATCACGAAGGAAGGCAGGAAACTTCTGCAGAAATCCTTCGGGTGACGTTGGAGGACCATGGTGTTATGTTGAAGAAGAAAACCTCGAATATGTTCAAAAACAATATTGTGATATTCCATTTTGCGATGACAGAGGTTTTACGTTATTTTTCATTGATTCCGCTAATTTCCGTTAAAAAAATTTAGTTTTATAAAAATATAAAACTATTTTTCAGTCATATTTAATAACAATTTTTAATAGAGTAGTTAAAATGATAACGTATACAAATAATAAAAATGAAGATTTTTATTATAAAAGAAAATTCATGTTTGTTAATTTTATCATTTACTTATCACGTATTATCATTTGAATGTAAAAGATACTTCAAATATGAAAAATATGCATACAGTGATCACAAAAGTATTGAAATTTATGGTATATTTACTATATATTTCTTGATATGTAAACAATTTTGTAATTATAATTTTTTCCATAACTATCAATAGGACATCAAAAATTTATATTATCTATAATTAATTTTTTTAAATCGCGTGCTATGATTTAGACAAAATTATTTTTTACTTTCATTTTTAATGTAATATATGTTTATTATAATTTGAGTACAAAGCATGTTACTGAATTTGACGTTTAAAAGAATCAAAAATTAATGAAATCTTTTGTTCTGAAAAAGGAACATTATAGCTAGTAGAATTTAAAAAAGAAACAAGGCTATATTGGAGCCATTTAATTGGTAAATCAATTACCTTCGAACAACGAAAAGCCGACATTTATATCAAATGTAAAAAGTCAAGCATCAAGCAAGTGCTTTGACTTTGTCAAAATTTTAAAAGAGTTCAGAAAGTGACGTTGATTACTTTGACCTGTGAACGGTTTATTTTTGTGTTTGAAATCTTTATTATATTTTTTTTGCTGTAATTTCCTGCTTTGTTAAAATCTTTGCTAAAATTTTCATTTCTCAGGTTGCCTATCATTCACGAAAAACTCATCTAGCTATACTATACTTACGAAATTATACCCATCGAGTGGTAACATTTCGTTTTGGATGAAATTGTGGAATCCTGATGATGAAAAAATGGTATATATATTTACATATAAATTCTAATAATATATGGAGGGTGAGCCATCATAATTATATGCGATTATCTAATTATCGAAGCAAAAATTAAAATAATAAATTTAAATAAAAATTTAATTTAGCATAAATGGTAGGATGTCGAAAAATTTTCAAGATAATTAACTGTATCATTAAAAATAGAAAAATTTAATTTAACGAAAGCGATCGAAATGATTCCGTTAAATGGTCCACCTTGTATATATCATTAAGATTGAATCATATTTAAAAATAAAAATAAAGCATAAAGAATAGGATATAAAATATAAAATAAAGACAAAAATTGATGTATTTTATACAGGATGGCCTATTTTAATTTAGACTGAACCTGCCTCGCGCCGGCCCTGAATAGTATAAGTTAAAATGGGACATCTTGCATAACTGAAATATATTAAACGTATAATTATTTCGTAGTAGCGTTATTTAAATTTCCTCCTTACAAAATACATAGGAAAACTTTTTCGATTAATTAAAATAATATTTACAGGGTGAGGTTAGGATTTTACTTAGCCTTTTATCGGTTCCTGTTTCCGCTAAGGTTATGGCTGAAGAATGGACTGCAGGAGTTGAATTGTTGCTTGCAAATTCTGGCAGTCGTCAAACGTTCCCAACAATCGATGTTAGTAATAATATTTTAACTTCTTCGCGTTACTAATTATACAAGATATCCCAGAAATATGTCCAAGAATATGCCCAAGATGGTCAAACTTTAGTTGTATTCTATTGTCCCTAAGAATGAAAACATGTCGTATAATCACAACTTTGAATAGTTCTGTTTCTTTTTCACACATAAACATTCTTTATGTGTAATAAAATATATTAGGATATGTTGTAAATTAATTATTTAATTCCGATGTTTCCCTTAACCCTTTTAGTGCCGAACGATGATATATCGTCGTGCACTACACTTGCGAAAAGTGCTAACGTCGATATATCGTTACGTATGCGAAGCTCTATCTCAAAATAAATTTATAGAACGTTACAAACGGTCTAATTTCATTGCGAAAGAATTTAAAAAATTGTTTTTGGGTTTAATTTTTTGTTATATTCTATGCTAGTCGGTGCCATGGAGTTATCCTTTCGTTCTCAGGACTGATATTGGTTATTTTATTAAAAATCATCGAAAATGTAATACTTATACTTCATACTACGTGACCTACATAAAACTGTGATCAAACGATGATTATTCTTATGTGCAAATATTGTTTCTAGAAGAGAAACTTGTTTCTATGTTTTTCATCGTGTTTTACATCGATGTTATTCGTACGATTTTCAATATTGAAACACAATCGGTATTACATTATTCTCCCTTTCTTCAGTAATACGCTACATTTTGAATTTTTGAAGTATCATTCTTAGTTTGGATTTTATTAGTAAATTCGTCCGGTTATCTTCGCATATGCACTCGTTTTTCGCTCGGCACTAAAGGGTCCCCCATTTACCTGGGCTTCGTACCCTCGGTCCTTAATCTCTCGATGACCTCCGTAAAGCTACGTATGTATGGTGGAAAATGTGCGATACTATAATATTTCTTGTTTACGAGAGAATATATACGTATTAACCCTTTGCACTCGGCGATTTTTTCGTTACAGGAAAATAGTAATTCGAAAACTTTCTGCCATAAATTCGACGATATTTCTAACACGGTAAGTAAGAAATCGTATGCAAATTAAGACGTAGAATTATTTTACTTCGGTATTCCACGCATCGTTGGGTAATTGTAAATTTGATATATTAATTAATATCCATCTTTAGAATTTGATTAAATTGTGACTGAGAGGCGCCACTCGAGTGCAAAGGGTTAATATACCGTTGAAATAACTCTTTACTGAGATATTAAAAACTATAAATAAGAAAGAAAAACGATATTTTTTATCAGGAAGAAGAAAGCTTTGAAAATACTCCTGAAATTTTAGTCGGCGCAAAGTGGACAGGAATATGGATAACATGGGGTGGCGGTTTTATTTCCCTCGGTGTCGAGGGATCATTCAAGCCTTTAGTTATGCAGGAGTATAAGAAGAAACTTGGGATTACGAGTCTGTATCCAGAAAGCTTTCTGTATTATGGACTTCGAGGAACGAACGTTTTGTGGAGTGGCACGTTATGCGAAACTCGTATGTCTTTTAGGAATAAAGTCAACGGAATATTGAAATGTTAAAATGTAGAAATTTTATCTAATGAAATTTGTAATGTTGCACATATAGTGACTTGGTAAATCGGAATTAAGAATATAATATAACCGTATCTGTGTTCTAACAAAATTTATAACATAAATGTGAAAAATCTTTGTGGACAAATGCAAAATTTTATAATTTATCTTGCTCCGTGTCACTTAAGCAGCTCGGATAAAATTTTGAAAAATTTTGGAAGATTAAAATAATATGACAATAATATTATTTTATTACAAAATATCGGACTGTAATATTAAATTATAAATAATACCTATAATAGATAAAAACTTATAATAATAATAAAAATAATTATTAATGATATTCGAGAGAAATAATTGTTATTATATTTCAAAATTCCAGCAGATTAATATTTTGTGATAAAATAAAATAAAGTTGAAGAACAAGTATGTAATTAAAACATATTTACTAATCGATTCTAATATTATATGTTTCTCTACAATTTAGTTATTTTATTAATCTAAACAATTATATTTTGCAGACTGCGAGATGCATACGACATTTGGAACCGATTTCTCGAAAGTTTGGACTATGCAGAGAAGCAACGATACAATAGATATTCGAGTTTTCGTTCGTGCGAGCCAAAATATTCATATACGTTTATATCAAACACCCTCAAGGGAATATCCTTCTGTAACGGTAAATATTTCAATATTTATACTATACATTTTCATTATTACTGTATATTTACATACTTGACTATACTATTTACATTACGATAATAAATATTATTAATTCCTCTATGTTCTCGACTTAAAATTTTCACTGAGGAATATAACAACAACAACAACAACAACAACAACAATAATAATAATCATTTATTTCACCAATCCATGTACATTTTGGTTTTTGGATTTACATAGCTTTTCTTATACTAGATATTGCACCTTTCTGGTTTACCCAATTTTCCATACACATAACTGACATGCACTCTTAACCTTAGCCATTTAGGGAGTCATACATCATATCAAGAATAAACGCAAGAAACTAACTAAACAACTAATAACTAATAACTAATATATTACATGTTTGACTTTGGTTTATCTTAACCTAGTGCTCGACGTTAAATTCCATATCTGCTATCCTCCCTCTTTCGTTTCACTCTCTCATACCTTCTGCTAACTTCGCATGCTTCTTTCACAAGCTCTCCACTTAGCATCCTATTTACTCTCCAGTCTAACCTCCGGCCCTCGCTCAGATTAATGACCCACTCCTTTAGTTCATCCGGCAATCTTTTCCTAAATTCTTCACACTCCCCTACATGTAACCACAATTCTTATCCTTCGCACATTGTGCACTTCTCCATTTCCTCTCTCCGTCCTATCGTGTTTCCTACATTGTCGCAACTTATTGTTAGCCTTGCCCACTTTTTCTTACCCTTATCTTCGATTCCCCTCGTACCCCAGTAAGCTTCCATACCTAATTCTTCTTTTTATCTTTATAAGTTCTTTTCTTTCTGTTTTTATAAGTTCTTTTCTTTCTATCTTTATAAGTACTATAGTAGTTAGACCTATCTATCCTATCCCACCTCTCCTGTATCCTTTGTTCCACTTTGGTACACACCACTGAGAAATAAAACACACGTCCTTTTCTTTGCCAATGCGTGCTGATACGAATTATAAAAATCTAAAATTTGTGGAATAAGTTTCATTGAAAACATATTGGAAACATATTGATTTACATGTACCTTACAACATAGGTAACGATAAACAAGGTGATTACGACTCTTACGTATCAAGAATCCGAGGAATCGTCTAAACATTACTTAAAGGAGGTTCCAACCACAAATCTGCTGGATTTTTGGTCATGGAGAGAGTTCAGCATCAGGTTTATGATCTCATTTTTATTTTACCATTTCGTTTTACTTTGATTGTTGCTTGATATGCTATAATTAAAGTAAGAATGTGTGATCATTTTCTTATTTTATTTTACTTTAATTGTACAACTTAAATTTACGACTTTATTTTACCTTAATTATTATATAATAATTAATTTAAAATGTAAAATAATTCTTTAAAATTTTCCTTTAATCGTTCTACTTAAATTTTACTTTACCTCTATCTTACTGCTTCAGTAATGTAGCATTTTATGTTACAGCATTTTTGGTGGACACTTTCGTCTATTTTCACACAAACATAGAGGCGCAATCGAATTATTGTACAGGAATGAGAACTTCTTTTCTACTCTGAGATGGTTCAGTATTGGAAGCGAAAATACCATAGCACAGTGGACGCTATTTTGTTCGCCAGAAGGTTTAAATAATAAAATTATAAAATTTATTTGGAAATGCGATTTATAATTTCCTTAAATTATAAAATTTAAGATTTTATTATTATGCTTTGTTATTTTGAAATTTTTTCTGCATAAGATAGAAATTGTAATATAAACAATAAATATGAAATAGCTAAGATGATATAATTAAGATTTTGTTAAAATACATTGTTTTAATTGTTATTTACTTGTAATAATATCATATATTTCATTTTAATTTTGCCTATATCAATCCATGTGACTTATTTTTACATTAAACTTTATCTAATATGATGTCAATTTTCAAAATAGTTAATTGCAATTTTGCTTCAGAAGTAGAATAAAGGAATTACTGATTATAATTGTGCTTTAATAGAATCAGATGCTATAGAGGATCCTTGGCCACCAAATTGTATCTCTGATATAAGGGATTTTCAATATAAAGGTACACAATGGACAAGCATTGACGAAATACCATGTGTTCCATGGATATCAGCAAAAGTAAGAAATGCAGATGATGAAGATTCTAAAATAAATAACACATATAAATTAGTATATCAAAATTAATATATAGAGAGTGTTTCATTTTTTAAGTACCATTTTGTCGTTATATTTTGTTGGTCTAGATAAAAAAGAAATATTATACAAGTTCGTATATGTTGCTTAACGCTTTAATAAAAAATTGTAACAAAGACACGAAATGTGAAAAGAACAATTAATATTAATTAATTAAAAAATAATAAAAAAATAATTAAATTATTTTTTGAATAATTAAATTTAATAATTAAATAATAATTAAATTAATATTATAATTAATAATTGTTTAATATTTATACGTAATTGTTAAT